GGCTCATCCGGCGGCCCGTCCTGCCCGGCCCTGGTGCCGGTGTCGTGCGCGGGTGTCTGGCTCCTCGGGGACGTCGCCGGGCGGCCTGGCCTGGGCGCCGCTGCCGAACAGCTCCCACCTGTCGGTCCTGGCCGAGCTGCCGGGCCGGTTCCGCGTGCCACGAGCACCGGGCCGTGCTCCTGCAGTGGTTAYAGGCAGCGCGCAGGGGACCCCGAGGAGGGCTGTGCTTGGCGCTGGGTGTCCCCCGGGCACCCAAGGGAGACGGCCGCCCCGTGGGCCCGCAGGAYGGAGCTGCAGCCGCGGTGCCCGGGCTGCACCGACCCCCCTTGGGGCTGCRCTGCAGAGAGCCGCAACCGGGAGCTGCTCCGAGCTCTCCCGCGGGTGCTGTGGGTGCCGGAGCAGCACCGCGCTCGGTTCCTGCTCCGCCTGCGCGGGAGCCGGGACCAGTTGGGCGAGTGCGGCAGCACATACCGATCCCCACCCCGGCGCGCGCCGGGCGGCTCCGCGGCCCTCCCAGAGCAGGGGGTGGCGCCGGGGAGGCCCCACGCGGCCCCGGCCGCTTCCCGGCCGGAGGGAAGGGCTCCCTGCCCTCACCCTGGGGACGCCCGGCGCTGCCGTCAACGCGATGCCSGTGCCCGCTGCTCTGCGCCTGGCTCGGGCTGGACAGGGGTCACCGGGGGTCCCCGTGTGTCCCCCCGTCCTGAGCAGGGGCACTGCTGTGTGTCCCCGTGGGGTGTCGTGGTGCGGGAAGGTGCCCRTGGGAACGCTCGGGGTGCTGGAGGTGCTGGGAACCGAGGCCGTTGTCCCTGTCCAGAGGAATGTGGCTGCTCCGTGGCACCCCCAGCCCATCCATGGCCCCATTGATGCCTCAGATGACCTGGGAAGGCCGTGGTTCCTACYGGGCTGGCGCTCCTAACCCCGGCAGGGAATATCCCACCCCACCGAAACAGCCTGCATTGCTGCGTTGTCTTCAACTTGTTTCCCCAGCCGAGGGGCTGGGGCGCCAAGGGACGTCCTGCCYGGCCTCCTGGGGGGACCGCGGGACACCGGCAAGGGCTGCTGCGGGTTTGGGGTTAAACTGTGCCCAGCGGGCATCGCAGGTGGGGGGAATGCAGTGGCCTTTGGGCTAATGCGGCTGTTCCGGCCGCGCTCGACCTCGTCCCCCGTCGCTTCCTTGACGGCCTCGGCAGCTACGGCGCCCCGGGCGTGGAGTTCAGCGGGCTGCACAGGGATGCGGCCACCGTCACGCAGATGCACTTCGTGCCCGGCCAGGTGGGTAGGGGCGCGCGGGGGGAGCCCGGCGCCGCCGCCCGCCTCGCTGACACCCTCGTGTGCCCGCCGCAGGGCTGGCTGCTSTGCCTGCTGGACGACAACACGCTGCACCTCTGGGAGATCTACCACAAGGAGGGCTGCTCGCACCTGGAGGAGACGCGCAGCTGCGGCCTGCCGGGGCGCCCAGGGTTCGACAGCGCTAAGTACTCGTCCCGCCTGCCTCCTTCCTTCTGTCCCTGGGGAGCTCCCGCCCCTCTTCCCGCTCTCCTCGGAAGCCTCAGGGTCCCAAAGGCGGCACAAGCGCCGGCCGAACCCCGGCCACTCCGGAGACTCCGCGTCTCGCTCCCGGCGCTTCCAGCCCTTTTGTGCCCGGCTCTCCCGCCTCCCGCTCCGTTGCTGTGGCGACGGCGGTGCCGGGGTCTCGCCTTTCCGCTGGGCTCTGCAAAATTCCCTCTTTTTTGTTTTTTTCTTCCCTTTCTTTTCGGCGCGCCCCCTCCCCGGGCGGCCGCGGCGGCTCCCGGCGAGGTCTGCCAGAGTTTACGGCGGAGCCGCGATGTGCCGGGGTGGGGTTTGGCTCCCGTGCTGCCAGATGCAGGGTTTTGCACTGTTTTTATTTTGTTTCTTGCTTTTAAAAACAACCAAAGAGAAAAAATAACGAGGCTCCGAACCTCTGCATTCRGCCGTGTAGGGATGGGCGCAGAGCAGCCGCGATGGAGCTGGGTCCCGGGACCCAGGGTGGCAGCGGGGGAGCGGGGACCCCGCGGTGGCCCCGGTGYGGCCGTCACCCCGGCACRGCGGCTGGGAACGCCGCGTGGGAGCCGCCAGGTCCCGCTGGGATCCCGGCCAACGTCCCATTGATAGCGGCCCCAGCAGTTGCCTGGGGGAGAGCTCGAGGTCAGGGCTGGCGCGGGGAGCGATCCCGGGTCTCTCCCAGCCGGCGGCTCCCGTCCGGGCAGCTCCCGGGCGGAGGTGATAAGGGCTGGATAGCGCCCGGGGCGCCGTCCCGCTGCAGGGCTAGCGGTGCCTGGGAGAGCAGCGGCGCCAAGGCCGGGTGCTCCGCGGCTCCAGGCACGCGCCCTGTTCTGCTGGATGGGGCTTATCCTGGGGGCTGCTCCGAGCCCAGCAAGGCCAGATCCAGCTTTAGGGCTGGATGGTCCCGCAGGCCGAGGGGGTCTGCGGGTCCCGGGGCGGGTAAAGGAGCGTGACCGGCCCCGAGCACAGCCGAACGCCCGGCCACGAGTCCTTGGCCCCTCTTGCCCACCCACARCAGGGCTCGGAGCCCGGCGCTTGCCAGGGGTCACAGGGCCTGGCCCCCCTTTCCCCATCCCCAGTGTTCCTGGCAAGACGGGGGCCTGGAGCCCTGGCTCGTGGTCAGGGGGTGGTCGGGACCCCCTGCACTAGCACTTGCCCCTGCACATCCCCTGCAGCAAAGCAGCCCGGTCTCCTCGCGCTCTGATCCAGCTCTTCAGCTGCAGCAAACAAGAGCTTTGAAGAGCCCGCAGTGGGCAGAATTGCAGTCCCGGACTCCAGTGACCTTTGTTAGGTGTTGGCAAGGCTGGGGCTGTAATTAATGGCTCTATAATTGGCTGTAGGCAGAGCCATTAGCATCTAGGCTGAAGGAGAGCTGACAGTGGGTGATGACCAAACATCCTGGCTGCTTTCCCTGAGCATCATCCTCATCCTCACGGCGGGTGTGCGCCTGAGCAGGGCCTGGGGGCGATGGGAGGAAGGTCGGAGCGGGGCTGGAGCCCCCGCTGGGGGTGTCACGTGGAGAGGGGCAGCGCGGCTGACGTGGCGCCGCGGTCCTTCCCCCAGCTGCTCGCCCGGCATCACGCGGGTGACGGTGATCCTGGTGAAGTCCTCCTGTGACGTGGCCTGCCTGGGCACCGAGGGCGGCGGGCTCTACTTCCTGGCGCTCCCTGGCCTCGCGCTGCTCGAGGAGAGAACCCTCCTCCAGGACGAGATCCTGCAGAGGTGAGAGGCGGCCGGGCGCGCGCCCTGTCCCGCCGGCGCCCGCCGCTCCTCACCGCGCTGCCCTCCTCGCCAGCGTGCCCGACGACTACCGCTGCGGGAAGGCGCTGGGGCCCGTCGAGTCCGTGCAGGAGCACCCGCAGGACCCCTCCAAGCTGCTCGTCGGCTACAGCCGGGGGCTGGTGGTCATCTGGGACCAGAGCACGCGCGCCGTCCATCACCTCTTCCTGGGCAATCAGGTAGCTCAGCGCCCGCTGGTGCCTCCAGCTGCTCGGGAGCACAGTGTCTTCCCGGGCCCATGCACTGCCTTGCCAGGGTGGTGCTCAGCTGGTGGCCCAAGCTGCGGTGTTAGTGGCTAAGCAGATGGCTTAGCAGGTGCTTGCCTGGTTTTAGAGGACCAGGAGCATCTCTTGGAGCTGCTGGTCCCCAGTTTGCTGGTTTTGGGGGTCTCTGCACCACGGGGGCTGTCATGGGGCTGGAGCCTCCATCCCTGTAGTTTCAAGCCCCCTTTTGTCTCTTGCAGCAACTGGAAAGCCTGGCCTGGGAGCACAGCGGCAAGACCATCGTGAGCTCCCACAGCGACGGCGGCTACATGGTGTGGGCCGTGACCAGCAGCTGCCAGACGACCCAGCAGCCCGTCCTGTCCACCATCCCGTACGGTGCGTTTGCAAGGGGCTGTCCCCTCCACCCCCATGCTGGGCTTGGCACCAAGGACTGGGGCAAGGAGGGTCCAGGGGCAGCTTGGTGCCCTGCTCTAGGGTGGCACTGGCTGGTTCTTCATCTGTTGGGTGCTGCRCAGCTCGGGCTGATCTCACTGTCCCAGTTTCTGGATGCTGGGAGGTCCCTGCAGCCCCTTGGGTTTCATCTCATGCTCAGGAAGCCAAGATCTTGGACTTCTTGTGCAGTGGGAAAGTTGCAGCCGTGGGGTTGTCTGCATTTCAGGTCCGTTCCCTTGCAAAGCCATCAACAAGATCCTGTGGCGAACCAGTGAATCGGGGTAAGTGCCTGCAGAGCGTGGGGCTGCTCTGGCCACGCAGAGGCAGCAGCAGCCGTGGGCTTGCTGGGCTGTCCCCGGGCTTGCCGTGGSCTTGGGTAAGTGGTGCAGCTGAGGGACCTTGGGTGCCAGGCAGGATTTGGGCTGCAGGATGTGCTGGTCTTGCCAGCCTCCAGTGCAAGGTGTCGTGCAGAGCCCAGGGCTCCCCTCGCAGCAAGGACAGGGGTGCCTGACGCCCATGTACTTCCTCGCAGCAACCCCTTCATCATCTTCAACGGCGGCATGCCGCGGGCCAGCTACGGCGACCGGCACTGCGTCAGCGTGCTGCAGGGCCAGAACCTCGCCACGCTGGACTTCACCTCCCGCATCATCGACTTCTTCACCGTGCAGGGCGCGGCCGTGGCCGAGGGAGGTTCGTCCCGCCGGCGCCGGCTCYGGGCAGGGCGGCCCTGCAGCTGGGGTCTCTGTTGCCAGCCCCGGTGTCTCCCCCAGGCTTCGAGAACCCGCGTGCCCTGGTGGTCCTGGTGGAGGAAGAGCTGGTGGTGATCGACCTGCAGACGCCGGGCTGGCCCACCATCCCGGCCCCCTACCTGGCACCTCTGCACTCCTCTGCCATCACCTGCTCCTATCACATCTCCAACGTGCCCCTCAAGCTCTGGGAGAGGATCATCAGCGCAGGGGAGCAGCAGAGCCCCCGGCTCTCCTCCGCGGTGAGTAGTGGCTCTTCCTGGGGACACGTGGAGCTGTTGAGGTGGCTCTGGGGGGTCCAGGCTGCACATTGGTGCTGTCTGGTCATGAGCCCTGGCTGCTGGGCTCAGAGCTGCCCGAGGACGGGGAGTGTTGTGGGGGACACACAGTTTTAATGCTTCCTCCTGCTCCCTGCCGACGGGCTCTCCAGGCTTGGCCCATCAACGGAGGCAAGAACTTGGCCCAGGAGCCCACACAGAGAGGTCTTCTCCTTACTGGGTAAGTGCCCTGGACCAGCCTGGTGGGTCATGGATGACCCTGTAACACCCCGTGTGACATGGAGAGGGGGTCCTGGACACCCAGCAGCCTCGAATGCACCAGGATGAGGGGGTGCTGGCCGCATCCTGCCGCGCAGCCCCTTCCACGGGCGCTTTGCAGCGGTTCCCAGCGGCGGGAGCCGCAGCCGGGGCGCGCGGGGAAGGCCCTCGGCTGCCGCCGGCTGGGCTGACAATGGCTCTTGTTTGCCCTGGCAGCCGGGCGGGAATGCGTCAGCCGCGCYGTGCTGTCCCCGGCCGGGTGCCGGCGCTTTGCGCGCGCTCCCCCGTCCTGGCACGGCGGCGGCCGCGCGCGCCCCGCGCACAGGCCCCTCTTGTCAGCCCCGCAGGTGGCGGGGCCCTAACGCGGCCTCCCCCCTCGCCCCCAGGCACGAGGACGGCACCGTGCGCTTCTGGGACGCCTCGGGGGTGTCGCTGAGGCCGCTCTACAAGCTGGGCACTGCCAACATCTTCCAGACAGACTGCGAGCACAACGACAGCCTCAACCAGGCGGGCGAGGAGGAGTGGCCGCCCTTCCGGAAGGTAACGTGCCCGGAGCGGCCGCTGGCACCGCGGGGACAAACCCGGAGGGAGGGCAGGGAGGATGAGCCYGTAGGAGCCGTCCCAGCCGTGCTCCGGGGGACGTGTCCCCTGCGTCAGGGCACAGCTGCCACCTGATGCCCAGCGAGGACACAAGGGGCCCTTGTTCTGCACGTCCCGGCTTGCAGATCTGCCGCGCTGGGCACGGGGGGCAGCCCTGCCGTGACTCTTCGCTGGGCACAAAGCCCACAGGACAGCAGTGTCCCAGCTGCGCGTCCCTGCAGTGCTGGGGGCGGCCAAGGGGCCGGGGCCGGCGGCAGAGGGGCCGCCYGGAGCAGCGCGAAGGCTCCGCTGCCGCTCTCGCCCGCAGGTCGGCTGCTTTGATCCCTACAGCGACGACCCGCGCCTGGGCGTGCAGAAGATCGCGCTGTGCAAGTACACGGCCAGGATGGTGGTGGCTGGCACCGCTGGGCAGGTAGGAGCGCTTGCAGGGTGCTGTCATTGCCTGAGGAGAGAGGGACAGAGCCAGGAGCTGCTCTGCCTGGCCACGCTTGGCACCTCTGAGCTCCATGGAGAGCTGAGATGGGGCCCTGTGGCACCTTGGAAAAGCCTGTCCTTGAAGGGCTTCGGTTTGGCTCCTGCCTCGGGGTTCATCGCTGGCTTGCAGCAAGAGCCAGCTGCTGTCCCCAGGGTGGCACTGTCAGAGCGTGTCCCAACCCCTTGCCCATGGGTACMGCAGGGAGCCCCAGTGACCCACGAGGCGGCTGCTGGTAGCGCTGGGCAGTGCCAGGGTGTGGGGGCCGCGGGCCAAGCGCCTTCCCGTCTGCATCCCCCTGCAGGTGCTGGTCATGGAGCTGAGCGACGAGAGGTCGGAGCACGCGGTCAGCGTGGCCACGGTCGACCTGCTGCAGGACCGCGAGGGCTTCACCTGGAAGGGCCACGACCGGCTGGCGCCCAAGAACGGCCCCGTGGCCTTCGGCCCCGGCTTCCAGCCCAGCGTGCTGGTGCAGTGCGTGCCGCCCGCCGCCGTCACCGCCGTGACGCTCCACTCCGAGTGGAACCTCGTGGCCTTCGGCACCAGCCACGGCTTCGGCCTCTTCGACTACTACAGGCGCAACGCGGTGCTGGCCCGGTGCGTGGGACACTCGGTGCCACCCAGGGCTGTGTGACACCCTGGGGGGCCCTGGTTTGGGGGGCCGAGGCCCGTGCTGAGCGGTGTCTGTGCCCACAGGTGTACGCTGCACCCCAACGACTCGCTGGCCATGGAGGGTCCCCTATCCCGCGTGAAGTCCCTCAAGAAGTCCCTGCGACAGTCCTTCCGACGCATCCGCAAGAGCAGGGTGTCGGGCAAGAAGAGGGTCACCAACAGCCCCTCCAGCAAGGTGGGCAGAGAGCGGGTCCCTGGCCCGGCGGGCCCTGCGCCCCGGCTGTTCAGGAATGGCTGTCGCTGCTCCTTATCCCGAGCTCCTTTGTGTAGCAGGACGGGGCCAGGGCACCGCTCTGCAGCCTGGTGGGCTGCCTCTAAAGGCGACCCGTGAACCCCGAGCGTCCCCTCCAGCTGGGTGCTGAACACGGGTACCCCCGGCTCCTGCGGCCCCGTGCCTGAGCCCCGGCCTGCCCGCAGGTGCAGGAAGCCAACGCGCAGCTGGCGGAGCAGGCCGGGCCGCCCGAGGTGGAGATGACCCCGGTGCAGCGGCGCATCGAGCCGCGCTCGGCCGACGACTCGCTCTCGGGGGTGGTGCGGTGCCTCTACTTCGCCGACACCTTCCTGCGGGACGGTAAGGCCCGCGGCCGCCCTGCTGCCCTCCTGCTCCCGTGCTGCCCTCCCGGTCCCCGCTCTGCCGAAACAGCTTCGGGATAAGCCCCCGGGATGGGATAATCCCCCCGGCTCGGGCCGCTGCTGTGCTGCGGTCTCTCACGCTGCTCATTGTCCCGCAGCYGCCCATCACGGCCCCACCATGTGGGCAGGGACCAACTCGGGCTCCGTGTTCGCCTACGCGCTGGAGGTGCCGTCGCAGGAGAAGTTCTCGGAGCGCGCGGTGGAGGCGGTGCTGGGCAAGGAGATCCAGCTCATGCACCGGGCGCCYGTGGTGGCCATCGCCGTGCTGGACGGCCGCGGCAACCCCCTGCCCGAGCCCTACGAGGTGTCGCGGGACTTGGCCAAAGCCCCCGACATGCAGGGCAGCCACTCCATGCTCATCTCCTCGGAGGAGCAGTTCAAGGTGAGCACGGGGGCAGGGAGCAGCTCCCGCTCCACTTGCACCCACYGCGGTGCGTCCCCGTCTGCTCCGGGCATCCTCCTCTGTGCGTGGAGTGATCCAGAAAGGCAGAAACGGGAGGAGACTAAATGGGGTCATTGCCCAGACTGCTCGGTTGAAATCTGGAGTTTGAAATCTKCTCCTGCTGTGGAGGTGCTGGCTCTTTGGGGAGAATGTGACCCTTYGCTGAGGGTGCCCCGGGGCTGCTCTGGTGCCACGTGAAGTCCAGCGGGTTTCTGTCCTCCGGGGCGGCCGCGTGTCCCAACCAGGACTGGGTGTCCCGGCCGGGGCTGGGTGTCCCAACGGGCTGGTTCCTCTCGCCCGCTCCAGGTGTTCACGCTCCCCAAGGTGAGCGCCAAGACCAAGTTCAAGCTGACGGCGCACGAGGGCTGCCGGGTGCGCAAGGTGGCCCTGGTGAGCTTCGCCAGCGCCGCCTCCGAGGAGCACACGGAGAACTGCCTGGCCTGCCTCACCAACCTGGGCGACATCCACGTCTTCACGGTGCCCGGCCTGCGGCCCCAGGTGCACTACAGCTGCATCCGCAAGGAGGACATCAGCGGCATCGCCTCCTGCGTCTTCACCAAGCACGGCCAGGGTGAGGGGACATGGGGGGACACCTGGGGCTGGCAGGACGCCCGTCTCGGCCTGGGTGTCATCTCAGGCTCTGCTGAYGCCTTGGCCTGGCTCTGCTCCTGCTCTGCAGCCCGGCATAGGGGGTCCCTGACATTCTCTGCCCCCTCCAGGTTTCTACCTGATTTCACCATCTGAGTTTGAACGCTTCTCCCTGAGCTCCAGGAATGTGACGGAGCCTGTCTGCTCCCTGGAGGTCTCCAGGCTCCAGGACACCTCGTGTCTCAGGTGGGCTGGGGCGCCGAGGGGCTGCAGGGCTCGCTGGCCTTTGCTGCAGCCCAAGGGGTGTTTGTCTCCCCTCCCAGCGCGGAGAAGCACCCCAATATATAGGGGTCCATGGCCTCCACCCCGTCATGTTCCCCATCACTACTAACCCCCATTTCATTTCCAGCAACAACTTGACGGCGACGCCGAAGCTGCCGCAGGCCAACGGCACCCACGTCCCCCACAGCCCCGAGGCCGATCGCTCCCCGGCCGACAGCGACCGTGAGTGACGCTGCGCCCGCGCTCCAGCCGGCCCTGCCTTGGCTGGAGGGTCCCCCCAAGGGGCTGCGACCTCCTCCGGGGCCGCGCGGGCTGGGGCACCTGGCCGCTCGCCGGGGACGTCACCAGCCCTGCCGTCCCTGTGGCCGCAGGGTCCCCTGGGGAGCAGCCAGCAGCCTTCTCGCCCGGGCCCGTCGACTCCCCCAACAGCAGCCTGGAGAACCCGCTGGACACCACGGGGGACATCACCGTGGAGGAAGTGAAGGATTTCCTGCCGTAAGCGTGGGCTGTGTCGAGTGCGCGGGGTCTCTGCCGGCCCTCGGGCTGCCCCTCGCCTGCAACCCCGGGGCTGGCGCTGCCCAAAGGGCCCCGGGAAGCAGCCGAGTGTCGCAGCAGCTTCTGCCCCTAGGTCCTCAGAGGAAGCAGAGAGGAACCTGAGGAACGTGAGCGAGGACGAGGCCCGGCCCCCGGGGCTCCTCATCAAGTGAGGTGCGTGCGGGGCTGCCAGGGGGGACGTCCACAGAGCCGGACCTGCCTCCATGTCCCTCGCCGGTACAGGGGAGCTCTGCGCTGCTCCGGGCTGTGCTCCCGGCTGCCCTGGGCTGCTCCCAGTCCCTGGTTTACCTTGGGCTGCGCCCAATCTCCAGGTTACGCTGGGCTGCGCCCAGTTCCAGAGCTGTGAGGGAGGAGGCAGGTCCAGGGAAGGCAGAGGCAGGTCCCAGGTCCCGGCTCCCTGCCCCAGCCCTTCCCCCTGGCAGGGGCTCCGGAGCCGGGATGTGGCAGCCTCAACATCCGTGTTGCCTGCAGGGATCTCCGGCRGCCGAGGCCTCCGCAGCCCCTCTCCGTGCCTGGATTCCCGGGACGCGCCGCTCGGCTGGACTCTGCCCCGCGCCCCTCCGCGTAACGTAGCCTGGTCTCTCCTCTAACAGCCGCTCCAGCCGCGGCCCCGGCTCCGGCCTCCCCTGCGCCTCCCTCTCGGCCTCCGCCGCCCGGCCCCGGAGCCGGCGGGGCCCGTTCCGCGGGGCCCTCGCGCAGGGGCCCCGTCGCACAAACTCTTCCCGGGGAAGATATTTTCCTTTTTAATAGCCGAGTGTACCGTGTGCCCCGCTGCAGAGCCCCGTTGGCAGGGGCTGCCGCTTCCCGGCGAGGCCGCGCGGGGCCCCGCGGCGAGGCCGGAAGCGAAGGGAGGCCGGGGGCCTCCGCGTGGGGCCCCGCACCCTTGTCTCTGTTTACACGCCCGGCGCCCTGCAGTTTACAGCCCCCATCCCTGTGCACGTGCGAGGGGGCTCCGGGACGGGCACTGTCCCCTCTCCTGGTCCCCTGGGGGCACAATGCCCGGGCAGCCCCAGGAGGGCACCGGCCAGGGGGTCACAGGTGGCCTTGTTCTTAGTGGCTTCTCCAAGGGCTATTCCCCAGGCTGGGCTCCGGGCCCGCTGCCCCTTTCCGACACTAATTCCTGCCACGGGTGGGTTTGGGATGGGATCTCACTGCGGGCGGAGGGAGGAACGCCTGGGCCTGGCCCCTCTCCCTCCCCCTGCCCTGTCACAGGGGTGTCACTTGTGCCAAATCCCTGCCGGACGGCCCAGCCCGGCTCTGTCCCGGCGGGTGACGCTGGCTCTGTCCCCTGGCCCGCGGTGACCGGCCCTTGGCGCTTTGGGCTCAGCCTAGCGCCTATGGGACCCCCGCGTCCCCTCCTGCCCCCCGGGTCTCTTGCGGTACATGTGCAGCCGGGGGGCTGGGGACAGCGCTGTCCGGCCCCCCCGCTGCTGGCCGGGGTTGTAGTGTCCCTGGTAGAACAACCCCCTGTCCCCACCCTTCCCCTTCCCTTTTTTTTTTTTTTTTTTTTTTTTTTTTGGTAAGATGAATTTAGCATTGTTTAGTTATTAAAAATACTGGTTTTTAATATTGAAAATAAAGCATTTAATATCAAGCGCTGGGGCTGCTGCTGGCCGGGGAGCCTCCACGCTGGGGCAGGAGGGGGCCCTGGGGGTCCCTAGATGGGGCAGGATGAGACCCTGCTGGGGGGGTCAGCCCTGGGCCGGGGGGAGTGTGAACGGACGCAGAGCCGGGGGTGGCAAGTGCAGCATTTATTGATACGGKGGAGACCGGGGGGCCCCGGGCAGAGCCGCCCTGGCCGCAGGTTTGGCCCCAGCCCCACGCTGCTCTTAAGCAAAGCGGCCGTCGCTGCGCCAGCAGCCGAGGYGTCTGCGCCCCGGGAGCCGCGCGCCGGGGCAGGGCCGAGCTGGGCTCCGTGCGGGCAGCGGGTCGTTCCCGGCTCCTCCCGGGGCTCGGCGGCGCCCGGAGCGGCCCCGCGCGGGCAGCCCTCAGGCGGGCGGCTTGCGGAAGGCGCTCCAGGCGTGGAAGCAGCGCGTGAAGGGCCAGGGCTCGTTGCCCTTGCGCACCAGGCGCAGCTTGCGGGGCCGCGCGGGGTCCTTGGAGCGCAGGTGCTGGATGTAGACCTGGCGCGGAGCGCGGCGGGCCGGTCACCGCGGCTCTGCCCCCCGTGCGGGGGGCAGGACGGGGCCCCCTTGGCCCCCCGAGGGCAAGCGGAGCTGCCCGCCCGCGCCTCGGGCCCTACCTGGCACGCTTTGAGGCTCAGCTTGATCTCCACCTGGCTGGTCTGGGTGCCGACCCACATGTAGACCTGGGGGGATCGACCACGGCGCCGTCGTCAGCCGCCCCGCGGGGCGGCCTCGCGGCCGGCCTCGCCTCCCGCCCGGCCTCACCTCCCGCCCGTTGTCCAGCAACATGATGTCGTCGTCGGCCAGGTCGTCCTGGCAGAAATCCGAGCACTTCTCCGACACGGAGAAATAGCCCTTCTCGTTGGAGCACCTGCAGGGAGAGCCAGTGCGGGCAGACAGGAGAAAAGCGGGCCCGTTGAGGACATGAGCTTTCTAGGACTCAGCTCGTGCAGGGAGAGCTGTGGGAATGGGAAGGGGAGCGGCTTGGATTTGAGGAGCTCCTCTACGGCTGGGACCCACCTGAACAGCCGGGAGTGCTTCATGTACTCGGCATCCTCATCATAGGGCTTCTGGCTGCCGATGCCAACCCAGAAGAAGTTCTCGGGCTCCTCTCCCTCGTTGATGACCTGCGAGGGCAGGGACAGGGCTGAGCCTGGTACCAAGGCCCACGGAGCAGCCCCCAGCCCTCTCCTTGCCCCCTAACGTCTAGGTGAGACGGTGCCCAAACCCCTCGCTGTGCCAAGGCCCCGCGGAGCAGCCCCTTCCCCTCCAAGACCACCCCACCTGCTTGCTGTAGGAGTCGTCAAACATGTGGTTCATGATGTCCTCGGCCAGCTTGGCCTCGTCAGGGTCAGCTGCCCGGCCCACCCAGGTGTAGACAATGCCCTGGTTGTCAGTGCTCTCAAAAGGCACCTGTGGGGGCAAAGCAGAGGGTCAGGGCTGCCTGCTGGTGACATGGGGCTGAGCAGGGCAGCTCTGGGTGCTCCAGCCCTGGGTACCTTCAGGATGAAGCAGAACTCGGAGTTGAGCAGCCCTGCGTCTGTGTTGATCTGGATGCACCTGGAGAACAGCCCCGAGCAGCATCGTGAGTGATGCACCCCATCGTGAGCAGCACCCCGGGGTGCCCCGGGCCCTGGGGGGCTCTCACCTGGTGCAGAGGGCCCCCCCGTTGGTGCGGATGTGGTAGAGGCTGGGCTGGGGCGGGCTGCCCCGTTCCTTCCGCTTGCCCCTGTGGATGACGAACCTCCTCTTGAAGTGCGAGAGGAACTTGGGGTTCTCCTGCTGCTGGGTCATGCGCACGACCTGGCCGGGGAGGGGGATCAGCAGGGCCACGGGCACCCCCTCCCCGAGCCCCCTCCCGGGCCCAGCAGGGCGTCACCTCCAGCTTGCCGGGAAAGAGGCTCTCAAACTTCTTCTGAAGGCTGAAGGTGAAGGTGAGCCAGCCCATGTTGGAGGCCTCGCGGCCCTGCCAGAAGTAGACAATGCACTGGAAGTCTTCCTCAGACTGCTTCTCCTCCTCCTCTTCCTCACCGTCCTCTTCCCCTTTGCCCTCGCCCTTCTTCTTCTTCTCCTCCTCATCCTCATATTCCACTGGCACCCAGTACCTGAGGGCAGGGAGAGGAGGGTGTCACGGGGGACGCGGGACAGGCTGGGGGTCCAGGCAGCCCCACGTAGGAGACAGGGGCCACCAGACACTCCTGGACCCTACAAAGGGAAGGAAGGGCCGGCRTCACCTGCAGAGGAAGACGTAGCAGTCGTGGGTGTGGAAGTGGCCAAACTCCTCCTCGGGCAGGCGGGCGAATTTCTTGCCTTCCAGCACGAAGCCCTCCATGCCGTCCAGGTCCTCGTTCCACTCCTCCATGAGCTGCTCGGCCTGCAGCCCCGCGCGCTCCGTCACCCGGGGCCCGCCGGGGCGGGCAGCCCGCGGGGGGGACGCGCACGACGGTCCCCGCGCCCGGCCCTACCTCGCTCAGGGGCATGGGGGGCTGGCGGGGCAGGAAGAGCGCCGTGAGGTYGGCCTTCATCTGGTCCTTCTTCTCGGCGTCCTTGCGCACCTTGCCGGCCAGGCCGCCGTCCTGCAGCACGGTCTCGGCGTTGCGGGTGTAATCCACGCGCAGGACGTCGTCCCAGTTCTTGAACTTGGACTTGAACACCTGAGACGGCAGCGCSTCAGCGAGGTGCGAGGGACCCCGAGAGCAGGTAGTGGATCCCCCCAGTGCTCCGCAGCGGGGCCTGTGCCCGCGCGCGGGGGCTGCGGGCTCACCTGGCACTCGGTGCCCTCCAGGTTGCGGGTGACCATGGCGTGCTTGGGCCGGTGCAACATGCCGCACAGCTCCTGGCTCAGCTTCAGCGCCGCCGCCCGCACCAGCCGCGGCGACTTGCGCCCGATCCAGATGAAGACGTCGGACCAGCAGTCCAGGATGTAGACGCTCTTGGTGTCCAGCAGGCTCTGCAGCTGCACGGGGGGGTTCAGGCACCCGCTTGCACCGCGCATCCCGCACCGGACAACTCCCTGCTCCCAAAGCAGAGCTGGGACAAACACAGGGATCCCACCCCGGATCCCATGGGATGGAACCAGCTCTCCCGCCCTGAGCTGCTGCCCCAGGGCATGGCTGGAGGCACAGAGAACACAAAGCCAGTGTCCCTGGTCAGACTGGCAGCACCCCCACGCCACCCTACCAGGCGCATCTCCGGCATCAGGTCGGCCTTCAGCCTCTTCTTGTGCTCCACCGAGAGCTTGTAGTTGATCTGGGGCAGCTCCAGGTAGCCCAGGCCCAGGCCCACCTGCAGAGGGGCAGGAATGAGGAGAGGCGAGGGGGCTCCAGCAGCCCTGGGGGCTCCGAGGCCCCGCGATTCCCCACCTTGTAGAGCTTGGGCTTGTGCGGCTGGAAGTCGTCGGGGACGCAGGGCCGGATCTCCTCCGGCTGCCCCCCAAGAGCCTCCCAGAAGTCGGGGGTCTCTTGGCCCTGGCTGAGCAGCGTGATCTCYGCCTTGCCCTTCCGCTCGTTCTTGTTGATCTTCTCTGCAAAGAGCCTGTGGCGGAGATGGACAAGGGGGTGAGTGGGTGCCCCGCCTCCCCGCTGCACCCACGGGTGCTGCCTCGTGCCCCTCGGGATCCCTACCTGGCCTTGGTGGTGCTGCTCAGCGTGGCCTGGCTCCCCCGCCACACCAAGAGGTTGAGGCCGTGGTCCAGGAGGAAGACAAACCTGAGGAACGGGGTGAGAAGGTGGTCGGTGAGAGGGACGCCGCGTGTCCCCCGGAATATCTCAGCAATGGGGTGACCTCTCTGCTGGTCTCCACTCCTCGCAGGGCAGGGGGCTGCAGCCCGTGGGGTTCCACCCTGGTGGCACCCATGGCCCCAGCAGTGTTTGGCTTTGCAAGGGGCTGGCACCGCTGTTTTCTGGCCCAGAGCTGTGGCCAGAGGGTCCTCACGGAGCCCCGCAGCACCTTGTCCCCCCACCCTTGCCCCCCGCACACCGGGGATCCAGGGATGTCCCCTTCAGCGCCACCGGCTCCAGCTTGACGTTCTTCTTCCCGTAGACGCGGTAGAGCCTAGGGGAGAGACGGAGCGGTGGGACGGGCGGCCCTGGCCGTGCCACGCACCCCCAGCCCCAGGGACCCCAACCCTCGCCCCGGCCATACCTGGTGACATACTGCGTGTCCTCGACGGTGAAGAAACCGCTGGCCGTGCCACCCTCGATGTAGGAGATGTCGTGGTCAAAAACCTGGCGGCAAGAAGCGGGTCAGGGTGGGAGAGGGAGGTTGGGGGGCTGCTGGGGGGAGGCCGAGGTGGCCTCACCTGGAGGAACTCGTCGCTCTCGTCCCCCATCTCCTCCCGGATGCTGCGGCACTCGGCCCCCAGGTAGTTGCGCAGGTTGACAGCGTGGATGGCAGAACAGGCCTTCTTGTCCAGCGTGGCCTCCTGCCCGATCCAGTAGTAGATCTCCCAGTTCAGGGAGCCRTTCTCGTCCAGGAAGGTCTGGGGAGGGACAACGCGTGAGACAGACCGGTGGTGACAGGCTGGGGACACGGGGGCAGGGGTGGCAGGGGGCCCTGGAGCCTCGCCGGTACCTTGAGCACGATGTAGCAGTCRGCCTCGTAGAACTTGCCGTGGAAAGCCTCGTCCACCAGCGTGGGCACGAAGTTCTCGATCTGCCAGACGCAGAGGCCGGGCAGCTGCCCCACGTCCTCGCTGAAGAACTCCGAGTAGTCCAGCTGGGGCTTCTCCAGGCCCTGATCCCAGCGGCGCGTCTTCAGGTCCGGCGCCTTCGTGTCCCCGTTCTCCTGCGGGGATGGGGACCGGTCACCCCGCTGGGCCAGCGGCACGGAGCGACTGCCCCCTGGTCCCCTCCCCAGCTCCTACCTCCAGCTTCTTGTTCTTCTCCTGGGCCACGTCCGACATGCCCTTGAGCACCTGCTTGGCCTGGTCATCCTGGGCCGAGTCCTTGCGCCGCCGGAGCCGCATCTTGCGGGCCAGGGGGTCCTTGGTGCCGCTGCCTGGGGACGCAGCCACCAAACCCGCGCCGACCGTCACCCGCCGCCCTCGCCCCTGGAGCCCGGTCCCTTGTGCCGCCCGCTCCCGGCGCCGCCTCCCGGGCCGGGGGCTCCCGCCCGCGTCGCCGCGCGCTCACCCGCCGCCGCGGCCGCCACCGTGGCCGGGGAGGCCCCCGCCAGGCGCAGCTGGTTCTGCAGCGAGAAGTCGATGTTGTACCACTCCGAGGTGCGGTCCGCCGGCTTCGGCGGCATCACCAGGCTGGGGTTCTCRCGCACGTCCAGGATCTGCAGAGGGTGGGGACAGGAGGTGTCACTGCTCCGGGGGCCACGTCTGTGGCTCCGGGGGTCTCTGCGGCGCCGTGGGAGCGAAGGCGGGTGGGTGATGGGAATGGGATGCGTGGAGGGGATGGGAACCCAAACACACCCCTATGTTGAACTGTGTCCCAGGGGACATTCCTTTGGCTCCAAGGAACCTATTCTCAGCTCCCCCCATCCCTCCCAACAGGCCTGGCCCTGTGGACAGCCCTGGGGCGGAGGGGACGCCTGGGCTCTCACCTCCACGTCGGTCAGGAAGTGAATGGCCTCGGGCAGCGTCACCAGGCGGTTCTTGTTCAGCACCAGCTTCCTCAGCTTGGAGCACCTGCAGGGCACGGAGATGCTGCTGCAAGGCCAGGCTGGCTCTGGACACAGCACCCGGGGACGCTGGAGGACGTCCTGTCCCCACGCAAGTCCCGTGATGGAGCCTCCACGTCACCCCTCGGGGTGGCCCAGTTCTCCCCTACCTGCACAAGCTCTCGGGGATGAGCTCCAGGTTGTTGTTGGCTGCCATGAACTCCTCGAGGTTGGTGAGCTTGCCGATGCCCGAGGGGATCCCGTCAAAATCGAGCTTGTTGGAGTTCAGGTACATCTTCTTCAGCTTGGTCAGCTTGCAGATGGCCGACTGGGGAGGGAAGGAGACAGCGGGGTGAGGGAAAGGCAGGATGGAGGCAGGAACGTGACAATAGGGCTGGGCTGCTGCGTACAGGCAAGGAGGTGAGCTGGTTGCGGGACAGGTTGAGGGTCTCCAGCTGGGTCCACTGGTCTATGCAGAGAGACAGCTCYGAGATCTGGTTGCTGCTGAGGTTGAGGCGCCGCAGGCTGCTCAGGGTGTAGAGGCACTCGGGGACGCGGCTGAGCTCGTTGCAGGACAGGTCCACGTCTGGGGGCAGGCGGCGGGTGAAGCCCCGGCGCTGGGGGGCAGCGGGGCCAGCGGCACCGCACACCGCGCGTCCCGACCCCACCTGCCAGGTTGGCCAGGCCCTCGAGGCTGGTGGGCAGGTTGCTCTGCGTGCGCTGGGTGTTCCTGAGGTGCAGGGTCTGCAGCGCCGTCATCGCCGGCAGCTGCCTGCGGGGAACGGGAGCAGAGATGGAGACGGGGCTAGAGCCGCAGCCCCCAGCCCAGCGGGGCTCCAGGGCTGGGATGGGGTGCCCTACACCCACGTGGCTCCATCCTGCCTGGAAAACGGGGCCTCACCGGAGCTGCGCGTGCAAGAGGGGGTTGTCGTTGAGGATGAGGGTCTGCAGATGGACCAGGCGCCTCATCTGCGGCGGGAGGCTCTCCAGCTTGTTGTTGCTCAGGTCCAGGTAGAGCAGGTCGGTCAGGTTGATGAAGAGCTGGTTGGGGATGGTCTCGATGCTGCAGGGACACGGCGGGTTCAGGGCAGCCCAGCCCTGTGCGGCCCTGGGTGCCCCCGTGGAGAGAGCAAGGACCTGGAGCAAGGAGGGGCGATGGATGCAATGGATGGMGGGCGCCAGGACCTACCTGTTGTGGCCGAGGTTGAGGACCAGCATGTTCTTGGCGTTCTCCAGTTCCCGGGGACACTCCGTGAGCTGGTTGTAGCTCAGGTCCTGGGGGAAAAGAGAGGAGCAAAGCGGCCATCACCCTCCATGCCAAGGAGGATCCGCATCCAGCSGCTACCACCCCAACGCAAGGACCAAATGGCATCTCTGGTAGCTCGGCCTGTCCCATCCCTGTCCATGGACACCCCCTCCAGGCTCTCCCGCCTCCCCTGGGCTGGACATGCCCCAATTATTGATGTGGTGAAGGTGTTTTCAGCCAGGATCCTGGAAATCTGAAGGGATCCGGGCAGCAYTGGGATCTCATTTGTTGCCCCTTTCCCCAAGACAACCCGTCGGGAAGGAGGCACCGGACTCCTGGGTCCCRCATCAGCCCTACCAGCACGGAGAGGTCGTCCAGCTGGAAGATGTCATCAGGGACCCCCGAGTTCTTCAGGCTGTTGGCACGAGCCACGATCGCCTGGGAAGGACAGAGAGATGGGCTGGGATCGGCGAGGCTCCGGCCGTTCCAGAGACTCCAAGCCATGGAATGGGAGAGGGATGYGCCCGCAGGTCCCGGTGTGGAGAGGGACGGGAGCGTTCCCGGAGCACGGAGACGCAATGGAGCATCTCCCTGCTYGGCCCTGGGGACGCCGGTGCCGCGGCCGTCGGGAGCGCGGGGCCGGCGCTCACCCGCAGGCAGGGCAGGCCGGACAGCTCTCCGTGCAGCGTGGTGAGGCTGTTGTGGCTCACGGACAGATGCTCCTGCAGAGAGAAAGCCCCGTGAGAGACCTCAGCCCCCAGGCCCAAAGCCAGGCAGCGGCCGGGGGCTGCTCCTCGGGTCTTTTAGCAATGCGGAGGGGATATAAAAATAACAAAATATCAAAACGCCAAAACTCGGCCCAAATCCACTCTTGCCCAACTCACACCTTCACCCTTCCTACCAGGAGACAAAGACCCTCAGCACAACTTTCAGCCCGTTTCTTTCAAGAAAACAGGATCAAACCAAGCAGGAGCCGGCCCCGCTCCCGCCCCTCCCGGCTCCTGCMTCCGATTTCAGCCTGGTTCATGCCCTATTATTAGCCGCGCGGCCGCGGATTCCCGGCACGGCGCCGCAGCCCCGTGCCCGCACCAGCTTCTGGAGGGCGGCGAGCTCCTCGGGCAGGTAGCAGAGCCCCGTGCGGTTGAGCTTCAGCCAGCGCAGGCTCGTCATGGCCCGCACGTGCTCCGGGAAGTAGCCGCCCTGCAAGGGAGAAGGAGAAAAAGGGAGKGAGAAAATCGGGGCAAAAGGATTTGGACCCCCCCACGCAGCCCCACGGGCCCCCCGGGTGCTGAGAGCTCCCACCCTATGGGGTCAGTGCTGGGGGTCGCTGGGGATAATGGGGACATGTGGGGCTGGCGTGGGGGGAAATGGGGGGCCAGAGCGGGGCTGGTCCTGGGGGTCTCTGGGAGCCGGGATTGGGGTGTGGGGCTGGGATCGCCCAGTGCTGCAGGATGAGGATCTGGGACCAACATCTGTCCATGGGGTCCCGGCGGGGTGGGGGGATCCCGGGCTCCATGGGGCGAGGCCAGGCAGGATCCCCAGCCCTATGGGGTCAGTGGCTGAGATGCACCCGCCCCATAGGGCTGCTGGGGGGCAGGATGCCGCAGTGCCAGCGTCGGGGACCGGGGGGTCACGGGATTCCTCAGGGCACCGGG